AAAAAAAAAAAAAAAAACTTGATGTAAAACGAAAGAAATTTTTTGATCTATGTCCATACTAACAATTTTTCATGATTTGAGTTCAATTTTATCTTGTCCTCAGGAAAGAGACATGGCAAAATATTACCTGCCCATCAGCAGCACAGGTAACAATGCTTCGGTCCTCGGTGTAAGGCATAATCTTTGCTTGGAAAATATTGTTGTGATGACCAGAATGGAAAGAAAGTCTAACATGACCAGTTTCCCAATCCCAGAGTATGACCATCCGGTCGTCAGAGCCCGATACAAGAATTTCACCATCAGTGTTGAAGCTAACAGTGTTCACACAACCTTTGTGCTTTTCAAGCTTCCGGAGGATATCAAGACGAAGAACAACACCCTTATAAAAGACATTGGAGATTGCTAGTTAAGTAGCTTGGAGAAGAAAAATTGTATAGTTATGTTGTTTCCCGATTCTGCATATTGACTTTAACGCAAAGTAACATGAGGGACTTGTGTGACTAGCACTATTTGCGTAGGAAGTCCAGAAGTGAAATCATTTATATAACAAGGAAATGTATAAGAAAGAGCAAGTGAAGAACATTTCAGTCAATTATAGTGAGCATTAATTTGATAAGCCCCAAAAGGGGAAGAAATTCAATTTGGAGGAGGAAATTTATGGTAAGTCGGTAATAAGAAATAACTGATAAGCTAGCATCAACAACCATGTTTGTCATTTAAGGACACGTCTAACAGCAAATACTCACTTCAACACTGCCGATTGACACTTCATCCAATCTATATGCCATAAAAATTTCATTCTCTGCATTATATTCAAGAAAATAGCTGCATAAGGAAAAAAATCTTCCTTAATTTAAGTAGGCAAGGCTACTATCTTGTTTGAACAAAGGAAAAAAACAAGCCTAAAACAGCCTACAAATTATTCAAATTGTCGTATGAATCTTTTATTTTTGTGAACTTCACGAAGATTTGGCTGATGGATTGTAAGAGAAAATATTAGTATTTTCCCCTTCAAGTATATTCAAGTAGGAAAGACAAAGAAAAAATTAATAAGGAAAAGTGATACTCGTGGGAGTACAAAAAAGAAACAAAAAGGATTACATTTGGAAGCTCGTACTTAACAACATTTCCAGCCAGCTAGTTATTCTTATTTCTCATGATTAGAGAAGACTGAAGTGAAAGAAAAAAGAATACTTTGTGGACATAAATAGGATCTGAAGTTCAGAAAAAGCAATAAGGAAAAAAATGCTTCTTTCTGTTAAGGGGACTCAGTTCCAGCCTCCAGGTATTACTTTTGCTAAACCTAATTAAGGATCCGCACTTTGTATATTCACTATCATTTACAGTTCCCACTGTGAATAGTCAAGATTTATGAAATCGAAACAATAAATTCGCTGTGAAGTTCAACATTAAATGTACTGCAGGTCTACACTCTCCTTAGGGTTCACTGGTTCAGAAGTAACTACCAGATGCAATAACAATTGTCTTAGAAACTACGCCAACAGACTCATGCAGGTAACGCCATGTGCAAAGTAACACCTTGTCGAGTCAAAATTAAATCAACATCACTGAGGTGCATGCTAAACCCACAATAACTAGTCTCTTAAGGATATTTTGTTTCCTTCTCATTTTATGTTTACATTAAGAGAGTATAAAATATAAACAAGTATATTTATGCTGAAAACTGATGATAATAATAATAAGATACTGATGTCATATGCCCATGAATTAAGTAAATAGAAGTAACATCAGATGTTCGCAGGCAATACTCAACATGCCCAAAAAGGAAGGGCCTGAACTTCCGAAAACAAGTTGAACCGTTCTTTTTTTACCATGTTCCTCAAAAAAGCTCTTGAAAGACATCACAGAAGCAACTATGCAGGTTCGACTGCATGACATGCAAAATTTATCATTGCATTGTATAACATATGAACATGAAATTAGATTCTAGCGCACATCATCCGGAAATCCTGTGAAAGTGTCATTTTACTTGTCAAACTAGCCCCGACTCTTACCTCTGAACTTCTCTCGTGAGGATTTGGCAACAACATCTCATAGTCATCTAAAACCCAAATCACAAACAAAGAGCACCCTAGAAAGGAAAATGTGCGAGACCCCAAGTAGATTCAGTACACGGAGGAGTATTAGCTGTCTTGATTCAATTAAAAACACAAAACCGCAACGCAAAATAAGACCATAATTTCTACACGTTTCAACTACAAGGTAATAACAAACACATTAAAATAAACCAGAATTGCATCATTGTATATAGATAAATACGAATTAGAAACTTTTTTTCCCTGAATAATCAAGATTGGTAATCGGGAAAGAACCTCGGAGACCGCGAGGCGGTGAGCGAAGTTTCTGGATGATAGCTCGCCGACTTCACGTTTCCATACATCGACGATCGTCGAATCAATGCTCGTTCTTGCTCTCTTTCTCATCACATCCATAACGCTAACAACAACAATTCAAAATTTCCAAACAGGTATATTTACAGTTCTGAAATTAATTAAACGGTAATCGGGTATTAACAATCAATTCCACCCAAATTAAGGGAATTCCTGTGGGTGGGGAGATGAATGAATGTAATCCACAGTATACTGTGATGATCTGTTGAAGATGTCGCCGTGGCATTTGTTTAGTGCAACAGCACGTGATATCATTTGTCCACTTAAAATATATAATTATTCTTTAATTAAGTGCTGAACAAACTCTGGTTTACATAATTTTCTCTCTAAAACATAAATATCATCACAATTGTTAAAAATCAAAATTCTATACGTTTAATTATTACTAGTCAACATTAAACGTGCAATATCAAAATTCTATATTTTTAATTATTACTAGTCAACATTGAACGTGTGTTGCGCGTTATTATTAAATATTTATAAGTGTTGTAAAAGTAATTTTAAAATATGTGTGAACTTTAATTAATTTACGATTAATATTAGAGAATATATACGTGACAATGAATGTCAAAATAATTTATTTAAATTTCAATTAAGTAAAGATGGATGTTAATTAACATATATAGACTTGAATAATGAAATGCATTCTTAAATGTGAAATCCTAATTAACTTATAATTGGAATTAATAACACTGAAATGCACAAAATGAAGATGAGTATTAATTAAATGAATGTGAATGTTAATTAATTGAGAATTAATAATAAGAAATTCATACATTAATGAAAGCACACATGCCAAATAAATGTCACATGTACATATACATTGATGGTAACTAAATTGTTAAATAAATTGAATACATATTGAAAAATAAAAAATAAGGTATTATTGAAATAATTAAATTATAGTAGAGTTAGAATTATCGAGATAAAGCCAAAGCATGGTTCCAATTTTCGCCAAATGGATCCTCACAAAAAAAATTTCCCCCTTCCAAGGCGACTCAATTGCAGAGTAAAATTGGCTAGTTCAGACCAGCAGACTTAGAACCATTTTATGAGGTTTAGGAGAGATTCAATGATTTACTTAGAAGATGTCCTCAGTAGGGTTATTATAATTGGATGTAGACAGAGATCTACTCAGACCTGGACAGTAGTAGAAGCTGCAACATGAGGTATTTCAATGACTAAAACTGCAGATGTTGCCCATTCACTGCTAAATGAAATAACCACCAACAACTATCAATAACCAAATGAGCGTTCAAATGCAAAGAATATCAAATATACTCAATAAAAGACTCGATGTCCCTCTTTGTGAGAGATTCTCTCATGAAATAGGACTTAAATAACAACTAAATACGGAAGCAATCAATTACAATATTAATTAATGGTAAAAACAATCTATCTACAATAGTTGTAATATTTGACGATCTCCGAAATCTTATTCAATTTTCGATGATCTCTGTAATCTTATTCAATCTCCCTGACAAAGAAAGTTGATAGTCTTTCTGAGGTAGATCCCATTATATCTTTGGCAGCTTAAATGTCATCACTCACAACTCAAATAGCTGCATTGACATCATAAGTAACTTAGAAGAATGCAAATTCTCTCATGGCTGCTTCTACTTCATACCATGAGTCTGAGACAGAGAATGAGCAAGTCCAGTATATGAATGGCAAAAACTTCAATCAGAGAGGAAACTACTTAGAAAACCAGTATCATTCAGGACTGTGAAACCATGAAAACCTATATTATGGTAACAATTCGAAAGTGCTGTAACCACCACGTGGGTTCAATAATCAAGCTTCTGAAAGGAAGCCATCACTAAAGGATATATTGGGGACTAAAAAATCGGGTGTCGCATGGGATACCACTTAACAGTTCAATGATTACCAATTTAACGACTTTTAAATTATCGAATAGTTGTTACTTATCCTTTTTTAGTTTTGACCTTACGTACAAAATTAATCAATCAAAAGCAACAAATCACTTTTAATTGTTTCTAAATGATTAAACATACAAGTCCAATTATCCTATGCTTGAATATCGCAGTACTAAGGAAAGCAATAATAAATACCGATATGATGACGGAGAAACCCCAACTGAGTAAAAACTCAGGGACCAAGCCTTTCCACTATAGACAATGCAGAGTGAGTTACAGTTAGATGGTATCTAGCTAACTCTACTAGACTTTTCGATCTATGTCTTGCTAACTCCAAGGTTTGCTCCAAGACTTGCTCCAAGATCATCTGCAATTGTCTCTTCCCAGTGGAATTCCAAAAAACCTGCTACAAAGTCTTGTGCTCTTCCTGCGCTTATTGTCCAACCTTTCTCAACTTCCAGAAACTTCTAAAATCCAACTGAAAGAGTACCTTCCTATGACTAATAAGAAGTAAGTGGTGTTTCGAATTCAATGTGTTTGATGTTTTTCCCAAATATGTGGTTGTATGATCTTCAAAGGATAATATGAATGTGTTTAGTGAATAAGCACAATGAACAACCACACAAAATTCGTGCATAAGCTTGGGTATTTATAGGATATGGTAATTATGTTGAATGAGCCAGAAAAAATACTTCAAAATAGCAAAATTAGGGTTTTCAGATCGACCGGTCGCTCGAGCGAGAAGCTGGGACAGGCGAGAGACGCACTGTTGCTCGAGCGAGAGCTCGGTGATAGGAGGGCGATAGGCAATTTACTTTTGCTACTCGAGCTCCAACTGGGTGAGAAGCTAGTGAATATATAGCGCCGTGTTTCTCATCTTTTAATGCTCGAAGCCTAGATCTCATAACTCAATTTGTACAAATTGTACCATAAGTCCTTGACTTTTACAGCACGTTACAAATTAGTCATTTTATCCACAGAATCGCCAACGCCAAAAACCTAACAAATTCCAAATTTAGCATTTTGTGACAAAACTATACAATATGTCAAGGAAAACTAAAAACAAAATCTAAACTACCAAAACTTCATCAAACTGATGTCTCTTGTATTCCTTGTTGAACTTGTTTGCTAAAATCCACAACTCAAATGCCTAGTGTAAAAGCACAAGATAATGAAATAATAAAATCATTAAACACTTGATACCAACACTAGCTAGATTGAGGCGTAACACTAATGTTAATCCAAACACCAACAAAAACATTAGCATCACACAAACATCAAAAACTCAAACAGTTAGGTAGATATGGTATAGAACACAATGCAATGCAATCAACAAATCTCCAGTATCATATTAGCATCACAAAAAATCAAAAAATCAAACTGTTAGGTAGATGTGGTACGGAATGCAATGCAATCAATAAATTTCCCCTTATCAATCTACTTTACCTCAAAAATTTAAGTTCTCTCATTCAAAACTTTTACTACTTTCACTACTTCAGTCTCCCCTTTTTTGTCACAAATGACAAAGGGACCAATTAACATATAATAACTCAAAAATGTAGTTGTTAGCATGTACAAGTATAACCAATGTACAATAAATCTTCCCACATACTTTGTTCAAGTTAACATTGAGTAAATTGTATAAGTGATCCATATGTGTAAGTTGTCACTAATCTTTTGTAAGTAGGACTCTAACCTTAATTTTGTAAGAAATGATATACTAAACATCACTACCAATAAGTGTATTCCTCTACTTATGAAAGTCAAGTCATTTAAAGTATATTAGAACCTATAAAGAAAAGCTTATTTTGTATGGATATTTTCTTTTCTCCCCCTGACTTTGAGCATATTTTATTTTCACATCTTTCAATATTTTAAGTTTATTATTATTTTTCACATCTTAAGTGCAGATTCTTCTCCATTAAGCAACTAAAATGATCAATGTAGCGAGTTTTAGGCCGGTTAACCTAAGTCCGTTAACCATAGGCACTAGGTTATGAGAAACCCCACATGTTTAATTGATCAATCAAATAAGCTTCGGAGAAGAACAAAAGATATTGAGTTTTTTATTATCGGAGATAAACTTGAGCTTAGGTCTAATAAATAAGGCAAATTCATGTTCAAAGTCACCTTATTAACATGTGATTGCCATCTTAAATCTTACACACGCGGTTGGGTCCTACTAACAATATCATAGTGTGTGTAGTGCAGATGGTATATGAAGACATATATACTAAATATTCCATAATAATCTAAGCCAACAATGGAAACTATGTTATAGCTCATCGATTAAACACATGTTTGATTACAACATACAAATTCAAGTATATTATATATTATGTATGTAAAAACAATTTCCAGCATTTTGTATTTTTCAATTTCTATTTTTTATTTATTTTAAAGTATGAATGCACCAAGTATACAAAAAAATGTTAAACACACTAAATAAAAATAAAAAATATGCATGAATTTTCTACCTTAAAAATAAATAAACAAATATGATGCATGTATAAATCGCCGTCACATAATGATAAAGCACAGACATGCACTAAAAATACATAATCAGTTAGGTATGCAAATGCTCTTACCTTTAAGAGCACTGTGATCCATTTCAAAAATTTGCAAATGCTCTTACCTTTAAGAGCACTGTGATCCATTTCAAAAAATTTCAGATCACTTTTCTTTACCCAAACTTGCCTAGCGACAGGAATATTCCCATTCATCTGTATCATTAACTTTGTCAATTGACTCACCTAATTAGTAAGAAAGTCAATCTACCAACAAACTCCTGATTCTTATTTCAATTTAAGTCCTGGTTTCAATTTCTGTTCAGGAAATGATGACACCTAGGCCTTACGTGTCCCAACTCACCGCAATGAAAACATGTATGAATAAAACTATGACCAAAGTTATGAGATCGTTGATATCTATTCCTAGGTTGATGGGTCATACGCTGTCTAGTAGGTTTCTGTCCTACATATCCCTTATTCTTAGGTTCAGGGTTAGGCACATGTTTAAACCGGTCAGTACCAGAGACAAATGTGGTCTTGGACGTACTAGCAACATTATGATCATTTTTATTATATCCTAGACCTCCTTTATTACCAGTAGGCTTACGTATTCCTAGAATGTTATCTAGCTTTATAGAACCACTAGAAAAGGCAA